AGTTTGAGTGGCAGCTGTGATATTCTTCGTCTTCTTTTTGCTGTAAGGATTGATGCTTTGTGTCATAGTGTGTCGTTGTTGTTGCAATGGTTGCTTCAATGTATTGGTTAGATTCTGCCGCCCAGGCTCAGGAATGATTCTTCGATTTGCGATTGTCGGTTGCAGTCCTCTGGAGGAGTTCAAGACGGCTGGTAGAGCATTCTCTTTGGCAGCCGCCGGTTTTGGAAGAGTCGTCTTGCGATAGGCGTTGGCTATTATCGGTCTGGCAGCGGGAGCAGCTGCAAGTGGTGCTCGTGACGGCGCCGAACCAGTAGCGAATGTAGTATTAATAGCGGTAGCGACAGCTGTTCTCTGATTGGCGCGAGGATGTGGCGAATTGGGTGGATTCGGAGTCGGTATCATGGAAGAATCATCCTTCCGTGACACTAAACCGCCCGAGGAAGGATGCGGTGTCTGTTTCGAAGTAGAATCAGTGTTGCGAGTGGGTGGTGTAATGGGTTGTGTGGATAATAGTTGTTGTGGTGAAATGGAGTTTTGGCTCTGTAGCATTGGTTTTGGAGGAGACATGTCGCCGTCATCATCGTCGTCCTTTTTGTCAGCACTACCACCACCATTGACCTCACCTCGAGTTGGCGATTTCCCGTCCTCGGATTGTGGAGTGGAAAATTCCTTCAACAGCTCTTCAAATGCTCCAACACCAACACCACCGCCACCACCACCGCTCGAATATGCTGCTGTCGCTCTGGCATTGGTGGTGTTGGGTACAGGACTATGAAATTGATACGGCTTCCATTCGCTACCACAGGTAGTCACTCGTCGTCTCCGCTCGTTTCTTATATCGCGAGAAAATCGTTTTTCTCGACTTTTTTGGACCATGTCTCCTCCTCCCTCGCTATTACCAGCAGAATCAGCACTGGATGCGCCGCTATTGTTTCGTTGATGTTCCATCAATTTCTTTCGACGACGGGATGCCAAAGAGTTGGTTCTGGGTGGCCGTATGTAGGATTCGTTCAATCGTTGCCGGACGCTTCG